ACACACACACACACACACACACACACATTCCATCGATAGGATGAGCAAAAATGGAATGAATCTTCCGCTGAAACGTGGAAATATACACTGCCACTTTTTGATTTGGTCATTCCATCGAAAGTATGGACCGTAGTTCAGTTTTTGCAGGCATTTGTCTAAGAAGAACTACTCTACGTGGTAATAAACCTTTTCAAGGTTGATGAAGATGAAGGCTATATTGTGTTTGGATTTTTTCGAGAGCTGAATCATTTCGATTAGTAGAATGTTGTCCTGTATCCTCCTCCCCCGAATAGAACCTGTTTGCACATGGTTGATAATATCCTCCATTACCCCCATCATTCTGTTGGCCAGGGCCTTCACCACCAGCTTGTAGACAACTGTGAGAAGTGTGATGGACAGTAGTCCCAAATGTTCCTTTTGTCCCCTTTCTTAAAGAGGAAGGTTAACACCCCTTGTCCCACAATCTCCCATGGCCCCCCTGACCCACACTGCATGATAGTAGTCCATCAGATCCTGGAAAAGGCTGCCCCACACGGACTCCCAAAACTCCTCTGGTAAGTCGTCGATCCCTGGGGCATTTACTTCCTTGATCTGCATCATGACGGTCCAAATTTCTTCCTTAGAGAGGGGTCGTTCCAGGGCCTCCTGCTGTTGGTTTAGAAGGTGATTGTGGAAGAATAGGACGAAATCATCAATTTCTGCACTCCTTTGTCCTTGGGGTTGGTGGTTGCACTGGGACGTGAACAACTCTTGGTAGAACCTCTTGGCAATGTACACACATTGAGGGGTTCTGGTGGCAACTCCGTGCTGACCGGGCGACAGGTCCTCTAAGGATTTTATGATGATCCTCCCTGCTCTAGCTTATGCCACAGTGAAGAAGCGGGTGCCCATTGTGCCCTCCATTTTATGCTTGTGGATCTCGCCTGGATGCAGATGCCTTGCCAACGTGTCTCCGCACTCTCTCCCTGTTGCTCCTCCCTAGACTGGATAGCCTCATTGGTTTCTAGGTCTCTTCTAGCGGTTTCTGGATCCTGTAGATCGTGGGAAATCTGGGTTTCTTCTCGCTGGTGTAACTATTGCAGCTGGGTGGTGCAAGTCCATTTCGTGTGAGTGACGCTGTGCTGCCAACAATTTGGAGAACTCTTTGCACTTTTGTGTCACAAAGGCCAAGCCGTTGTTGAACCATAGGGTGTCATCTTTTAGCGTCTCTTTGTTTGATCACCAATAGTTCCGCACATCTTTTATGTAGGACCGAATGATTTTCTATGATTGAAACCTTTTTCTTTTCTTTCCTTGTTTCGGATGTTTCCTTTTGTAATCTAAGGCGCGTGTTACATGCCCAGTTGGGCGATGTATGTAAATAGCCAAGGATCCGCAATGTGATAAAAAGGACTGAATGGACAATGCAATGCAAGTGGAATCTCAACAAGCAATGTACATCGTGATACATACAAAATGGCAACTTGTGGCGCACCGGAAGACTTAGATACAAGTCCTGACCTCACCGGGACTGGCCTCTATCACGTAGCACAAGACAACGCAATTGAATGCTAGAATACCAATGATGAGACCAATCAATGTTGTTATGAACTTGGTTGTCTGACGAATTTTCTCGCCACTCACACACAGACAGTCTCATACATGCCCATACATGCACAAGAGATGGGGAGAGAGGAGACAGAGTCCACACTGCACACAAGTAAAGATAAACAGCGGAAGACCATTATGCACAGCAGGGGAGAAGACACACAGTGTTTCTCACTCTCTGACACAACTCCCAACAACCAATCACAAGAAAGAACCTGCGAAGATCACAAGTGAAACTGTCACTAATGATAAGCCACTCACACTATTATCGTAACAGAGTTTGTTCCAGTATCTCGCCACACCCAAACTCACACCCCACTCCCTATCCTACACCCAATTAGTAGCGTTATGTAAGAACTGCCTCCCAGAGGCCAGCGCCAACCACCCTGATGAAGAACAGGTCCTGCGATGAAGTCTTCAGTGCCGATGGACAACTCTGACGAAGGAACAGGCAGCTATGGCTGGCACCACCCACGAACCACTCAGTGTAAAACCTCGAAGTAGCCCGGCCATACGCAGATACCCCCAGGGGTAGATGCGTTGAGGATGCCCCAGTTGTGGCAAGCTCAGAGAGGGCCGGCTATGGCTGCTGTTGCGGTCTGTCTCTGGATGCCGCCGGTAAACAAGTACCGCCACCAACTTGCTTGGCTTCTCCAACGCTGTTCGCGAGAAAATAAACTGCCAAAAGTCCCGAATCGATGAGCCTAACCTATCTATAGACTCTCTWGACCTAGACCGGACTGACTGACCGACCGGTACCGTTGCTGTTTTTCGGCCTCTCGGCCCCTACCGGACCCGGCTATAGGCTATAGGACCGTCTAATAGTATAGGCCGCTTAGGGCCTGTCTGTCCTAGGGGTAGCCCGGGCCTGCTATAGGCAGTTAGGG